AGCAGCAGCAGCAGCAGCAGCAGCAGGACGGAGACACAACGATGCAGGATGCCAGCGCTACCGAGGGCGGCGGCGACGACCAGGACAGCTCGAGTCGTGCGAGGACCGCATCGGTGCGACCGTCGGAAGCGCCATCGGGTGCCGCTGCAGCTGCGACCGAAGTCAAGCTGGCCGGCGCCACGGGTCCGGACTTTTCGGCAGGGCTGCTAGCCGCGGGCATCGACGACCTTCCGCCTCAGGCGCCCACGTTCCGGACGGTGGATGTGAAGCGCGAAGTGCAGCGCATCCGCGACGCGCGCAAACGCATCCGTCTCGACCCTTCGCTCGCGACCTCCGGTGCGACGACGTTCACGTCGGGCGTGCGCGATGCGGCGGGGAATGCGCTGGGCGAGGCGGGTGCCAATGCGGCGCGCGTGGCGGCGCTGCCCTCGGTGTGCGCCTACACCTTCCACGATGCCGACGACGGCATCACCTGCTCGACTTTCTCGAGCGACATCACCATGATGGCCGCCGGCTTCGAAGAGTCGTTTGTGCAGATCTGGTCGCTCAAGGGCGAAAAGCTGCGGGCGGTGCGCGGCAATCCCAATCTGTCGTCGATCCGCGACAGCAAGTCGCTCGCGCGCCAACGCGAGGCAGAGGCCTACTCGACACGTCGGCTCATCGGTCACTCGGGTCCCGTGTACGGCGTGGACTTTGATCCCGTCGGTGGCTCGGCCTCGGCGCCGCGTCATCTGCTCAGCTGCTCGGCGGACGCAACGGCGCGACTGTGGAGCCTGGACACGTACAGCGCGCTGGTGGCGTATCGGGGCCACCAGCATCCGGTGTGGGATGTAAAGTGGAGTCCGCTCGGCACCTACTTTGCCACGGCCAGCGCGGACAAGACGGCGCGGCTGTGGAGTACGGAGCGGGTGAATCCGCTGCGCATGTATGCGGGCCACCTGTCGGACGTCGACTGCCTCACGTTCCATCCGAACAGTCTGTACCTTGCCACTGGCTCGTCGGATCGCAGTTGCCGACTGTGGGACGTTCAGCGCGGTGCATGCGTGCGGCTGTTTGTCGGGCATCAGTCTGCGATCTCGTGCGTGCGAATCAGCCCCGACGGTCGCTACCTCGCCTCTGCGGCTGCGGGCAACGGAACAGCAGCGCAGTTGGCCGGAGTGGACGGCCTGGATCCCAGCTCGCAGGGGGCGCACATGAACGACACGTCGATCTCGCTGTGGGATCTGGCGAGCGGACGCAGGATCAAAAAGATGTGGGGCCACTCGGAGCGCGTCTACTCGATGGACTTTTCCGCCGACGGATCGCTGCTCGTCACTGGCAGTCAAGACTGCAGCGTGCGATGCTGGGACGTGAGGGCGGTGGGAGGCGCGCGAAAGACGCCGCCCAAGGGATCGCTGGAAGCACAACAGGCCAGCGCAGCCGCAGCCGCAGCGGCCATGGCGACATCGGCACTCGCACCGCCAAGTGCCGACCAGCTCAAGAACGGCTCGCTCGCCAGCGCGGCGCTGGCAGCAAGCCAGATGGGCGCCGACCTGGCCAACGCAAGTGCCGACTGCATCGCCACCTTTCACACCAAAAAGACGCCCGTGTTGGACGTCCACTTTACCCCGCGCAACCTCTGCCTCGTCGCCGGCGTCTACGCCGACTAGCAATGTACCATCATCCATCTCTGCCATCGTGCCATCGTGCCATCGTGCCATCGTGTGTGCTCGATCCTCCCTGCCTCCTCTCGAAAGAGGCGAGTCTGGCGGCGGGCCGTGTGGAGCGCATACAAAAAAAGGAAAAAAGCTGCGTTGAAGGGGAATCGAACCCCTATCTTCTGCGTACTAATGATTACATAATCATCCTGGAAAGCAGAAATACTCGCCATTGTACTATCAACGCCTGCTCTAACATCAATTAAAGCTGTTACGTATATACTCTGCTGCTTGTTCTTCTTGGTGTTCGGTGCGGTGCCAAGTGGGCAAGGGATGGTCGAATTGCAGTGCGGGTGGAAGGAGCAGCGCGTGTGTTGAGTGCCTTGCAAGACCTTTGCGGGCGCGGGTGGGGGCCAAAAGTGTTGAACCGGCTGTTGACGGCGAGGGAGGCTCGAGCGCGCCTTTGGGTCGACCGACGCGCGCTGCGATGTGGGCACTGCTTTCTTCGCGACCTGGCTGGCCTTGTGATGGACTGCGCATACAAATTTTGGAAATGCAGCCGGCGTGTGATCAGTCGAGGGCGAATACAAAGCCAGACGCACGAGGGTGTTCAACGACGCGCCCGACCGGCTGCTGTGGGCATCGTCGCCCTCTGATGCGACGCGCAGCTTCTGCGCTCGGCTCAACTGCCCGCACAGTTTTTTTTTCTCTTTTCCCCCCTGAATTCAAAAAGCGAAAATGAATCAGTGAAATCAAAGGGCGAAGAGCAACTCAGCCCGGCCTCTGCGCTCGTCCCCCCCCCCCCCCCCCCCCCCCCCCC